TTTAATTAAATTAGAATCAAAAATACATAAAAAATCATATTTTTTTAAATAATAATTTTCATTAATTTAAAATATCAAATTACATTAATTAAAATACAAAAACTTAAAAAAAACATTAAAAATAAAAATACAACTTCAAACTACATTACTTAAATAACCTAATTAAAACAACTAACAAAGAAACATAATTAAAAAAAAAAAAAACTAATCTTCGTTCATATTGAGTTCGTACAAATGATCTGCAACATCTTCTCGAAGACTGAAACACGTTTCACTGTTATGCCCGTTAACTCCTCGAAATCAACACATTGCTATATAATTATTGATTACCATATTCTCTACCACTAACCATGGGATACCTACCACTAAACACACCACTCCACCTCATTTTTTTAATTAAATTAGAATAAAAAATACATAAAAAATCATATTTTTTTAAATACTAATTTTCAATAATTTAAAATATCAAATTACATTAATTAAAATGCAAAAACTTAAAAAAAACATTAAAAATAAAAATACAACTTCAAACTACATTACTTAAATAACCTAATTAAAACAACTAACAAAGAAACATAATTAAAAAAAAAAAAAACTAATCTTTGTTCATATTGAGTTCGTACAAATGATTCGCGACATCTTCTCGAAGACTGAAACACGTTTCGTCGTTATGAATTTCAACAACTCGTGATAAAAATTCATTCGTTCCTGGTACGAACTCTTCAAGTGGGATGACGACGTCGTCCGGATCGTACATGTAAATCGCTCGACCTTGATCTTCAATGATCATATTATGCATTATAACACATGCTAAGACCATTCGTTTAATTCTATCCTTGTCCCAAAGTCGTGTAGCGTATTTCACTACATGTCACGTCTGCTTGAGGACTCCAAATGCCCTCTCGATATCCTTCCTCGCTGATTCATGTCTCTTTGTGAACAAATTTGCCTTTTCACTTCGAGGAACCGAATATGCCTTCATAATTGTAGAATAAATCGGGTATATCTCATCACAAAGGTAGTAACCGTATTTGTACGAATGTCCGTTCGCCCTGAACTTCATATCAAGTGCTTTGCCGGTCCAAAGATCGTTAAAAAGTGGAGACTGGCCAAGAACGTTAATGTCGTTGTTAGACCCCGCAACTCCAAAAAAAGAATGCAATATCCATAAATCCTGCGATGCGACAACTTCTAGGATTATACTTGGTTCACCTATATCTCCTCGAGTGAATTGACCATGCCATGCATTTGGACATTTTTCCCAAGCCATATGCGTACAATCTAGACTGCCAAGCATACCCGGAAATCCATGCCTCTCTTCATGAGCCGAATATAATCTCTCAATATCACGTGGAGTTGGTTTACGCAAATATTGTTGATGAAAAACCTCATATACACATGCGCAAAACCAATCTACACAATCAATTGCGGTCCTCTCGGATACTTTTAAGTATTCGTCAGATACATCAAATGCTATACCGTATCCCAAATACCTAAGCGCAGCCGCACACTTTGGTGTACTACTAAAACCCATTCTTCCTCTAGCGTCGGGTTTTTGTTTGAAAAAATAATAACGAGCTTCTAAAGCGTTACTAATGCGTAAAAATATCGTCTTATTTAAACGGAAACGACGTTCGAATGCATCTTCATTGTAAAGACAGTTATCGGCGAAGCAATCACGTACCAATAAGTCATGTGCGGCTTGACGATCACGATTGACGACCGCCCTTGTACGAGCAACATTCAAACTTTCTTCATCGTGAATGTGTTGTACAACATTGAAGAAGGTCAAGATGAATTCCCCGTCATCATCCGAGTCAAAAAATTTTAACACTTCCAAATCTTCCATGTTTTTTTTTGGTTTAGAATGAGAGTGAAATTTGATGAAATGTATAAGTAGAAGTGTGAGAATTTTATTTACATAGGTAAGTTTTTGAAAAAAAAAATTTTTTTTTTGACCGTTCAACGGTCAAAAGAAGCAACTTCAATACAATTGGCCGTTTCACTTCGTTGTCGCGAACACGAGATACCACGACCGACCGAGGTGGTGTGCACGGTCGTGGTCGTGGTCCACGTAAACCACGAACCGGCTCGTGCTCAGTATTCGTGATAGTCTTAGCAAGCTTACATCATATGTGGTTAAAGTATAGATTAGATGAATTTGATTGATAATTGATAAATGAAGATAATGAAAATTATTTAGAGTATGAATTTGAGGGACTAACCTTGTAATTCTTTAGAATTATTCAGTTAGATCACCCATGAAATCCATCCAGTAATCCTCCCAAACAGAACATCCCTTCAATATATATAGAACTGTATCTGTCATACAAAACACACAAACCAAGAATGGAGTCGCCTTCTTAGAATTATTGTCAAGAGCATATGCCACAGTGAGTCCCAAACTTGATGACATTGCAACGTTTTACACTATATTTAGGAACTTGCAATTCTTTTTCTAAGCAGAATCTAATCGTGGGAAAGAGAGTGGTACATATTCATTGAGGACTTTTATCAAACGGGGTAGCATGCGATATACAAGTTAGGGTTTTCGCACAAGAACAATACTTTCTTTGACCATACGTTGAATGGTAACGTGATGCACTCTATGTTACTGCGGTTTGATTTCTTGCAGGGGCACCGAGTTCTAATTGCGGTGTTGGAATTTTATTGTGAGTAATTTCTCCGCTTATATGATGCCCCCAAGCGGAAGGCGAAAAAGCAAAAATTCATCTCACGTGCATACGTGGTTAATACTCGGCCTCAGGTTGATGCAAATAGGCTTCCGGAAGGAAACGCATCTATTTACCAATAAGGTATCTGATTTTGTTATGTATTTTTTTTAGTACCGATGTAGTTTTGTGCTTTGAAAACGTAGGACATAAAAACGTACTTAATTGGTAATAATTTGGTGGTCCAATTCAATTTCGGTCAAGGAACTTCCTTGTTTATGGGAATTTGTAATGTTTAGGTCTTTGATTTTGAAGATGCTATGTTTAGTTTAACCGAATCTGGATTGCTTAGATTAGATTGTCAACAGTGGCATTTTGTTGGATTACTCATTGTTGGATCTCATAGACACGCTAATTATCATGAACTTGAGGCTTTTCCATTAGATATCATATTTTGACTTTCCACAGCCAAAATTTGAAATCTCTAACCTTTGAACTTGATATGTAGTTATTTTAATTCCTTGACAGTAGCTTGTAGTATTTTAAGGACACCATGTTAACCATTTTTTGTTTTAACTGCTACTACTACATTGCCATTATTCATGTCATTTTATATCATGCCATTTTTGTTGTTAACTTCAACTTTTGGTCTGGATTCTTGTAGACAGTCATGGTCTATTCCTTGTTAGGAGTACCAGCATTTCTTTGTCAGCGACCTTTTGTTCTAAAGAAACATAGAGCTTCTGCTGGTTATGATCTCCAAACCCTAAACTCTATTCTACATGAATAAAACTTGCTACTTGTAGACTTGTAGTTTAAGGTCTATACAATTCATGGACCTTGGTATACCAATACCACTCTTAAGAAGAAAGTTGAACGTTACTTCAATATTTTGAAGAAAATAATCAAATATTGGTTTGTGCTCTTAATTATTCAGTTGAATGTCATAGTTCTGCAATCAGGACAATTAGTGATGTGGAGATTGAAAGGTTGCTTACTGCTTTGCCCTTGCTAAACTCTAATATAAGAAAGGAAGACTCTATTACTCCAATATATTGAGGAAATCTTCTGTGCCTAATGGTGTCAAGAACTGAGAAAGATGGACCAATTGAAGTTAAATGGAAAGATAAAGATGATGATTTGTCTGTCCATGAACACAGCTGAAGAAGGAAACATGATCACTTCATTTTTATAACTTATGTCCATGGCTTATCTTGATTGCTCTACTGCCATGCCTAGGGTTGTTCATAATTATCCGAATCCGAAAATCCGATCCGAAAAATCCGATATCCAATTGTTAAATTATCCGAAAATTCGGATATCCGGTTTTTCGGATTCGGATACGGATAGTGATTTTGTAAGTTTTCGGATATTTCGGATATCCGGTATCCGAAAAAATATGATTTTAATTTAACTATTTTTTCTTATTTTATGAAAATGAAAGTTAATACTTTATTGCTCAATACTTATACTAAATGCGATCATCTTCATCTCGGCTTAACAACTACATTTGGTGGTCTCAAACGATGCTTAGATTTATATCGTGTTATTGTTTTCTAATGTGTAGTGTTTTGATTTCTAACTTAAAGATTGAACTTGATTACTGTAAAAGAAACTTCAATTTATTCTTAATGGTTCGTTAGTTAGTTTTTTTAATTGATTTTAAAAGCTTTTAGTCAATTTATTTTGAGTTTCATCACGTAGTACAAATGGTTAATCCATTTCGTTTGTCAATACTAAACTACTTAGATAGTTAACATTAATTGTTTAGTTTAATTGATATTTGAAAATGACAAAAAGATAGAATTTCGGATATCCGGTTTTGGTATCTGTATCCATATCCGAAAATTCGGATATCCGGATTTCGGATATCTGAAAATTCAGATACGGATTCGGATACCAAAATCCACTATCCGAAATTTCGGATATCCGAATTTTCGGATATCCGGTTTTGAACACCCTTGCCATATGCCATCTATTGGTGGTTTTGACTTTTCAAGTAAAAATGGTAAATTGTTGTGCAATAAGGGTTTTAGTTTTCATTTTGAAGTATGATTTATTTACACAGTTGGATCGATCCCTGCTCTCATTTATCTAGGAGGCAGGGAAAACAAAGCTTCATTGCCACTGATAATCTTCATATCAAGGATTTTGTAGGTTATGCATCATTTTCCTGAAAAGACCACCATATTTTCAAAGTAATACCTTCATTCCATTTGTTTCACAACTTATTTCAACAAAATACAAGATTCATCAGATACTCAAATACATCCATATTTAACAATTAACACCCAAAATATCGACTAACAAGACACCTCAAGTCCTTAACTATTTTGAAGTGTATCCCAACTCATGGACAACATTTCCGATATTCATCCGTTGCGTTGGGGAATCCACAGAGCATGATACTCCAAGTTTGACAGTTGAAGCCAGGCATTCCTCTATTTTCTTTACATCTGCTATAATAGGAATAGCATCCTCTTGAAGAAATTTCAGAAGATCATCATCAATAACATCGGTTACATGGTTTGGCAAGGCCATGTATGCAAATTTATGAAGGGTAAGGCCTTCGTTAAAGATGTTGTCTGTTGGCCTCTTCCCTGTCATCACCTCCAACAATAGTATTCCAAAACCGTAGACATCCCCACTACTTGTCATCTCACTCCCAACACCATACTCTGCAACTTATAAGCAATGACATCAAAAAAAAAAGGTAACACTATAAATAGATATAAGAACCTGGGAATACATGAACTTTACTTGGAGGTGCATATCCAATTGTTCCTCTAATGCCACTTGTGCTGTTTTGGTTTGAATTTGTTCCAAGGAATCGAGCTAAACCAAAGTCTCCAACATGGGCCACCATATCATCATCAAGTAGAATGTTGCTAGGCTTCAGGTCACAGTGAAGGATGGATGGCTGGCAGTGATTGTGAAGATAATCAAGTGCAGATGCGACATCAATGAGAATATTTATTCTCTGGAAAAGATTCAGTCTGGATGTATTTGCACTTGAATGCAACCAATCATGTAAACTCCCATTGGGCATGAACTCGTATACCAGAGCTTTGAAGTCATTTCCATGGTAGTCAACACTTGAACATGAAGTTATTATCTTCAACAGATTCCGGTGTCGAATACTCCTTAATGCTTCACACTCCGCTATAAAGCTTTTGTGAGCACCCCGCTTTTGAAGATGTATAACTTTGACAACAACACATCTATCATCATGATCATTAAGGACTCCTTTATAAACAGAGCCGAACCCACCCTCGCCAATCAAATTGGCTTGGGAGAAGCCATTGGTAGCCTTTAGAAGTTGACCATATGATACTTTCATGAACCGTTCGTCCCTCGATGATTGAGATGGTTGACTCTTCCTTTTCTTACACCAAACATATGCAAAACATAATATGGTGAAATGTGTGGATGCAGTTAGAATGAGTACGGCGAACAAAGGAAACCTTTTTTTATGTTTATCATGTGTCTCCTTGCATTTGGGCAACCCAAGTTCAGGCAAGCCACCACAAAGCCTCCTATTTCCCAAAACAGAGAATGCACTTGCATTGGCAAACACTCCTAGCACCGGTACTTCACCATCAAAATCATTAAAGGATAGGTCTACATATTCAAATGAGAACCGTTCTGAGAATTGAGGAATTTTTCCCGAAACGCCTCTCATGGAACTCAATGACGATGGTACCCTGCCTTGAAAAAGGTTGCCTTTGAGAGATAAGAATACAAGGCTAGTGCAACCACCAATGCTACTAGGAATGTTACCTGATAAATTATTATAAGAGAGATCCAAAGAAGTCAGCATCTTGAGGTCGCCAACCTCTGTTGGAAGCGAACCAAACAGGTTGTTTTGAGAAAGATCTAGTGCTATGTGTTGAGTGTGAAGCCATTGGGCTAGTCAAAAGAAGTGGCAGGAAACAAGGAAAGCCAGAAAACATGGAGAAAGAAAAAGGGGACATCCATGTTTTGAGGTAGTGGATGAAGACCCGAATGTTTTTTTCTTTTTTAATATACTTTCTCAATTTCAATCTCTATAAATGAGATTGCTCTGTATTTGTAAGGATGGATCCATCACAAACTTCACAGAAAAAATATATACACTCCTAGTTACCCTCGTGTGGACGTAGGTCAGAAATAGACCGAACCACCTTAAATCTTTGTTGTTCTTGTGTTTAGAGTGGTGTGTTAAGTGTCTCGATCCTAACAAGTGGTATCAGAGCAAGGTTTTAGCTCCAGAAGGTGATTTTCAGTTTTTTGGTCGAAATTTTTTTCGTCAAAAAACGATTTTGGTGTATACCGTTGGAAAGGTCTCGTTCCGAAGATTCCGAAAATATTTTTTTCTGAATTTTTTGACCACCGGAAGACGTCCAAATCGCCGGTCAAAGGTTTGCCGGAATAGTTACCGAAAAAAAAACCAATTCGCCGGAGAAGACGACACTGTAGCACCTGAACTCGCCGGAGAAGACGACATTGTAGCACCGAAGTTCCGCCGGAGAAGACGACACTGTAGCAGGAACTGTAGCACAACGTCAGCGGTGACGTCAGCAGACACTGTAGCACGACGTCAACGGTGACGTCAGCAGAAACTGTAGCAACACTGTAGCAGATTTGAAAATTTGCAATTTGGCCCCTAAATTTCCAGAAAATTGCAAGATAGGTCATTGTTCTTTCAGAAAATGGCAGAAAGCAGTAAGCTTCAGATTGAGAAGTTTGATGGGAAAGATTTTGGTTGGTGGAAGATGCAAATTGAAGATTTGCTCGTGCAGAAAGACTTGGACGCAGTTTTAAGTGAAAAACCGGAGGCGATGACACAGGCAAACTGGGAGACTTTGGATAAGAAGGCCAAGGCATTTATTAGACTGACGTTGTCAAAGGATGTTGCCTTCAACATTTTGAAGGAGACCTCAGCAAAGGGAATCATGGAGGCATTGTCTAATATGTACGAGAAGCCGTCGGCAGCAAATAAAGTCTTCCTGATTCGGGAGCTAGTCAACACGAGGATGAAGGAAGGAAGTTCAGTTACAGTGCACATCAACAATTTAAACTCGATTTTATCTAGACTTGGGTCAGTGGGAATAAAGTTCGAGGATGAAGTTCAAGCTTTACTATTGTTATCATCATTACCTGACAGTTGGTCTGGAACAGTTACAGCCGTTACTAGTTCCACAGGATCGAATGGGCTCACTTTTGAAGGAATTCGGGATTTAATTCTAGGCGAAGACGTCAGACGAAGAAATTCCGGGGAATCATCAAGTGAACAATTGAATGCGGTCAGAGGTAGAAGAAATAACAGAGGTAGTGGGAGCGGGAACAGGAGAAGGAGTCAGTCGAGGACTCGAAATGATGTGACTTGTTGGAACTGTAAAGAGGTTGGACATTTCAGGAATCAATGTCCAAAAGACAAGAAAGAAGTTAACGCTGCAGTAGACCATTCAGATGATGATGTTTTGATCTGTAGTGTGGAGAGCAATGTGGATTCCTGGGTTATGGATTCGGGTGCTTCATTTCACGCTACCCACAGCCGTGAAGCACTGCAAAATCTGAAAGAAGGAGATTTTGGTAAGGTAAGACTGGCGAACGATGAGGTTCTTGATGTGACGAGCATAGGTGACTTAGATTTGAAGACTCCAGTTGGTCCATGGACTTTGAAGGATGTCCGGGTAATTCCAAGTCTGAAGAAACAGTTGATTTCTGTTGGGCAGTCGGATGAACAGGGGCACGAGGTTAAGTTCAAGAATGGGCAGTGGAAGGTTGTCAAAGGAAATCTTGTGATAGCTCGTGGACATAAGAGGGGTTCATTATATATGGTCAGATTACCATCTGAGGGAGTAACCGTCCCAGTTCAGAAGAAAAACAAAATCCGGTTCATAGAGTCTCGTGGACAGAAGAAGGTTTGCTTTGCAGATGGCAAACCCAGAGTCACAGGTCAGATTCAGGTTGAACGTGTTTGGAACGGTTCAGAAAAACCAGTCAAGGGCATTCATAGCAGTGGGAGCATGGGCTTTGTTTCAGCTAGAATACCCAGAACACAGTGGGTTAAGAGAACCAGTATTCCATCTGTAAAAGTCTCTCCAGATTATCTGTTTCACATGGAGAGTGTCGTTTGTTCTCAGGATGTTCCAGGATCGGGTAGTTCATTTCAGTGGGAGCCGGTGGAGACAGAGAACAGGTCAGTGGCAGACTTAGCCATGACTGATGTGTTGGAGCTAACGGAAGCTTCAACTAGCCTTCATGTCAATTGAAGAGAAGGCCAGGGTAACTAGGAAGGAGTCAAGATCAAAAGTTTTTACAGAAATACAGATACACAGTTGAAGCTATGGTGAAGATTGTTTCGTGGCTTCAAGTGGGAGATTGTTGAGTGTGAAGCCATTGGGCTAGTCAAAAGAAGTGGCAGGAAACAAGGAAAGCCAGAAAACATGGAGAAAGAAAAAGGGGACATCCATGTTTTGAGGTAGTGGATGAAGACCCGGATGTTTTTTTCTTTTTTAATATACTTTCTCAATTTCAATCTCTATAAATGAGATTGCTCTGTATTTATAAGGATAGATCCATCACAAACTTCACAGAAAAAATATATACACTCCTAGTTACCCTCGTGTGGACGTAGGTCAGAAATAGACCGAACCACCTTAAATCTTTGTTGTTCTTGTGTTTAGAGTGGTGTGTTAAGTGTCTCGATCCTAACACTATGGTTAGAGATGAAAGTTGAAGCAGTTGTCTAGGTATTCCACCGCGGAGTTTATTATCATGAAGGCGCAATTCTGATAGATAATGACAATTTCCCAGGCTTGATGGAATACGCCGTTCCAGTCTGTTGGAATGTAACCAAAGCTTAGTCAACGATGATAAGTTTCCGATGGCATCTGGAATCGGCTGTGAAAATTGATTATTATATAGGTAATCAGCTTCTAGATTTTGGAGCTTCCCAATGGCGGAGGGGATTTTTCCCATGAATCTATTATCTCCTATAGCTAAAGTGGTTAAGCCAACTAGATTACCTATGCTTGAAGGAAGGTTTCCAGATAAATGATTTGCTCCTATATCTAGATACGAGAGCTGATCAGAAAGATTACCAATTGATGTCGGCAGCACTCCTTGCAACTGGCTATCATAAAGATAAAACAACTCCAGTCTGCTGCAGTTTTCCAAAGTATCAAGAAACTTCATATCATTAGCTTCACCGGATCCATAATTGTTTCTACCTAAGGATAAATAATTGAGATATTTTAGTTTTGAAAAGTCGATTGTCAACTTCCCACTAAAACTGTTGTCATGCACTTCAAGAACTTCTAATTTCGAAGAATTAGATATCGAGGGTGGAAGAGGTCCGGTCAGTTGGTTATCCCGTAACTGAAAGAACCCAAGGTGAGGGAGCATTTCACCTAAGGCTGAGGGGAGACTGCCAGTAAGCTGATTCTCAGCAAAGGAGAAATTAGTTAGGAGTGAGAGGTTATAAATGGAATGAGGGATGGTTCCAGATAAGTTACAAGCAGAAACGTAAAATTCTGTTAAGTTTTTCCAATGGCCTAAGGTGTCTGGAATGCTCCCACCCAATGGATTTCTGGCTGCAGAGAACACTTCCATTGCTGTTATATTCCCCAAGACAGGAGGGATTCTACCTGTTAAGTTATTGCTACCAAATAGAAAAAAAGTAAGTTTGGAGAGGAAACTGATCTCTTTTGGTATGCTTCCAACTAGCTTGTTATCATGGAGTCCAAGCTTTTCCATATTAGAACACCCAGACAAGTTAGTTGGAATGACTCCGATGAATTTGTTATAGCCAAGATCGAGGACACGTAGCCTAGATAGACGACCCAGTTCATAAGGGATTGTACCTTGAAAGCTGTTGTTCCAGAGACTAAACAAACGAAGGAAGCTGAGGTTCCCTACATGTGGAGACAACGAGCCTTCTAGGCCTTGTGAAATCATTCGTAGAGCAGTGACTCTTCTGTGGCGCTTCCCACATGAAACACCACTCCAATCACAAAAATGGAAGGAATCATTCCATGAGCTTAGTGGATCATTGGTGATCATGGACTTTAAATGCAGCAACGCATGATAATCGGTCTCATTCCCGCCATAGGAAGTAGAGATGGTGGGGGTAATCAGAAATATAACAAGAATAGAAAAGAGGAAATCAACACGAGAGAAAGATGATAATGAAATTGGTTGCTTTGAGTTCATTTTTTGGAACTAAACTTAGGATTCCAAAAGATAGTATATTGCTTTTTGATTTAACTTGTTACATTTAAGACCCTATTAATAGCAATGATCCGTAATGATGATATGTTTGTTGACATTTATCCAACCATTGATTTTTTCAAACTTTAGTAAAATAAAACGGCCACCTGAAATTAAAACCAGGAAACAATAATGGACAATCAACAGCACTTCCAGATCAGAGACGATCATATGAGAACCTTAAATCCAGCCATTGATTTTTTCAAACCCACGGACGATCATTTTTTATTTTTATTTTATTTATTTATTTATTTATTTTTTTCTAAACAGCAATAACTTTAACAGTTATCTTTTATGTTTGACCTTAAAACGTTTTTTCTCTTGACTTACAAAGCCGACAATAAGTCTTTGATTATTTACTTATATCCCTAGAGTCTCCCCGACCAAAACAGAAATAACATTGGTGTGACATTAATTACCTTGTCAAATTACATAAAAACACAATATTATCATATGACTCTTTTGATTAATAACATTTTATTTTATACTCAAATCTTATTTTGATTTAATTTACATAATTGTTAAATATTCTATATAAAAATATAAAGAAGTTCAATTACGAAA